GTTCTCATCTTCCAGCTCCCCAGATACTCCGCGTACTAAAGTTGTACGACAAAGTCGCCAGTTCTCATCCAGCTCTCCAGATACTCCGCGTACTAAAGTTGTACTACAAAGTCGCCAGTTCTCAGGTTCCAGCTCCACAGACTGCTCCACGTACTACAGTTGTACTACAAAGTCACCAGTTCTCATCTTCCAGCTCCCCATATGCTCCGCGTACTAAAGTTGTACTACAACTTCGCCAGTTCTCATCTTCCAGCTCCCCAGATACTCCGCGTACTAAAGTTGTACTACAAAGTCGCCAGTTCCCAGCTTCCAGCTCCACAGATTGCTCCGTGTACTAAAGTTGTACTAGAAAGTTGCCAGTTCTCATCTTCCAGCTCCCCAGAGACTCCGCGTGCTCAAGTTGTACTACAAAGTCGCCAGTTCCCAGCTTCCAGCTCCACAGATTACTCCGCGTACTAAAGTTGTACTACAAAGTCGCCAGTTCTCATCTTCCAGCTCCCCAGATACTCCGCGCACTAAAGTTGTACTACATAGTCGCCAGTTCTCATCTTCCAGCTCCCCAGATACTCCGCGTACTAAAGTTGTACTACAAAGTCGCCAGTTCTCAGCTTCCAGCTCCACAGATTGCTCCGTGTACTAAAGTTGTACTACAAAGTCGCCAGTTCTCATCTTCCAGCTCCCCAGATACTCCGCGTACTAAAGTTGTACTACAAAGTCGCCAGTTCTCTCATCTTCCAGCTCCGCAGATACTCCGCGTACTAAAGTTGTACTACAAAGTCGCCAGTTCTCAGCTTCCAGCTCCACAGATTGCTCCGCGTACTAAAGTTGTACTACAAAGTCGCCAGTTCTCATCTTCCAGCTTCCCAGATACTCCGTGTACTAAAGTTGTACTACAAAGTCGCCAGTTCTCATCTTCCAGCTCCCCAGATACTCCGCGTACTAAAGTTGCACTACAAAGTCGCCAGTTGTCATCTTCCAGCTCCCCAGATACTCCGCGTACTAAAGTTGTACTACAAAGCTTTGAAGCTGCTGGTTTTACTAATGTGTTATCAGTGTTACACTAGTTACTTACTACTTAATAACACTTTAGTAACACTCTAGCAATGAGTTATAACCAGTTATAACTAGTTATAATGTTGTTAAGTAGTTATATTTTTTAAGATAGTTATCTATCTTTTTTAACTGTTAGGCTAACATGTTTAACAATCTTAAAAAATTAGATGAATTACTAAAGGTTAGATATGTTGCTTTCAATTTCTAAAACAACAATTTTGTTAGTTTTGTGTGTGAAGATTTTATAAAAAACAATATATATTTATTGTTCTTTGGAACACAAAACAACAAGTTTGCATGTCAGCCAATACAGGCATTGTCAGCCAATACAGGCTTTCAATTGCTATTGCCAGTACAGGCTTCCTTTCGAGCAGCTTGCATGTACATGAATTCCATGCAGCTGCACACTTTCAAGGTGTGATGAGGCCATGAGGCCGTGTGAGGCCATGAGGCCATGTGATGCTTTCATGGCATTGTCAAAAGGTCAATGGACATGGCCATTTGTGCAGTCACAAAACATGATGCAATACTTGAACAAAGTTCCTTGAACACTTGCAATGTCTTTGCCATGGGTAAAGCAATTGCATGCTGTGATGGAGTCTGCTGACCCCATCAACATGAAAGCTGCTAAAGCTTTGGCACTTCTCAAAGAGAATGGTCTTGCTTACGAGGCCACAGTGAGGCCAAAGGATGTCCTAGTTCACACCTCAAACCGAGGTGGTGCCATGGTCAACGGTTATGATGTAGCCTCCAAGGGGCAGGCTATCTCAGAGCTAGGGTGGGACTTACAAAAAGTGAGACAATCTGTGGCAATGGAACTTCCTGTGGACCAGGCCAAGAGACAAACCATTGTCAAGGCCAACTTGACCCTGGCAGAACAATCCGATGGCATATTATGCAGACCTTTTGGGCAAGAAAGATTTTGCTCTTTATCCTCCAGCCACACAACCTGTTTCTTGCGCAGCCTAGAAGCAGGATGTGAGGTCATGCCTGGCAAAGCTTCAGTTGAACAGCTGGTGGCCAAGGGTGACGACCTGGGAAAAATGATGTTTCAAGGATGGCAGTGGACCATTATCAGTTGCAAGGTTGATGAGGAAGTCCCCAATTTAGCAACCATGCTACAGCAGGCATACAACAGCCACAGGTATACACCAACAAATTTTCATGTTTTCCTCAAAGCTTTGGAGTTTTGGGATGTATTGCCAGCCATACAAGTATGTGCACCTTTTCAATTAAAGCTGTGAGTTTGTTTATATATTGGCATTTTGTTCTCTACATAGATGTATGGTTCATGTGGTTTCAATGCCAATCTGCTGAGTTGGGAAACATCAGGCGATCTTTCCATTGGCAAACCTCCAAGTGAGTTGGAGGTAATGATGACAATAGCTCATACATATGGTTTCCAAGCTGCTGGCAGCAAGGACCTCAAGAAGGCAATTGGTCAGGCAGCTGCTAGCTGTCCACCCTGCAAGCCTTACATAAAGACCATCGGCGATTTTGTTGCAAGCTATGCAGGAGGAGAGGACTTCAAACTACTCAAGTACTTGGACTTGATTGGATTCTCGATTGCATTTGCTTCTTTGTTGCATACTGCAATATCCAACTTTCAGCCATTACAGGCATTCAACCATTCAACCATTACATATAGGCCTGTGCAGGCTTGGCCATACAGGCCCATGATGACAAGTGAAAACACATTGCAGCCTGTGCAGGCTCATTGAATGCATGCCTTTGAACATTATCCCCTTGCCTTTCTCCATGCTGAGGACGATCATATGGAGCCTCTGTGATGCTTGGAGAAGAATTCTGTAGCCTTGTGGCCTATACAGACTGGAAGCTGCCAACCACAACACTGCCATTCATGAGAGTTGCCATGTGTGCAGCTCAAATCACAGCACCCAAGCAGCAGTGCAAGGATGGATTCTCCAGAATGATCACCAAAGGAGATTTTGACAAGTTGAAGCAAAAAAACACCTGCCTAAGTTGGAGCAGGCAGAGCAGCTGATGTGTGCAGCCTGGGAGGCTGTGGAGAAATCTGGCTTCCCCATGGCAAAGACTGCCAAAGTCTTTGGCAAATTTCAGATACGATTGGTCCTCCACCTCCTGGACAAGGAAGTCAAGGGAAGGGAAGGAACCAAGTATGAATCTTTTGAAGATATCAAGAACCGGTTTGAGGATGACTTGTTGCAGGCTGACAAGGAGACTGCAGCTGTCTCTGCACCTGAAGCCAAGGCTGTGTCCTCACAAAGTGTCAAGTCTTTGATGGATGCCAAAGATACACAAGCCATTGCTTTGGCAGCGCACAAGCACATTCAGCTGGGGAAGCTCTATGTGCACAAGAAAGAGAAGGAGGAAACCAAGGTGTGGAAGCTCACTGGCTTCATCGATGGTGGTGCCAAGTTTGTCCACAAGCCCTTCTTCAGAGCAGCTGAAGAGATCACTGTGTTGCACAGTGATTGGAATGATTGGAAAGAATACAAGAAACCTGAGCCTGAGCTGGTTTCTCATGAAGTCAGTGGTGCTTTGCTACCTTGTTCCTCCAAGGGCTTGGATGATGAGATGGCCAGAGCTCAAGCACAGTGGGAAATCTATGAGAAATGCAAAGAGTTTCTGGCAAGTATGTTAAGTTTTTTGTCTGTATGTGTTTGTTTTCCCAAAGTGTTTGAACCTCTGGGGATTGGAGCTCAGGCTGGGCGATCCAAGTGTTCTGGTCTCCAACCAGGGCCAAGTGTTTGCAAGTCAAAAGGTTGCCAAAGGAAAGCTATGTTTGCTTCCAATGGGCAGCTTGCAATTGGTGGAGGAGAGTAAGCTCATGAAGGGCCAAGTCTACATAAAGTGTGGCAACTTGGGCAGCCATCATGTCTATGTGATTCATGCCTTCAAGTGCGACTTTACCAAGGAGACTGGGATCTTCAGCCCTTTCTGGTTTGTGAAGCAAGCTACAAATGATGAGGAGGGCACTATGGCAAAGCAGATGGTGAAGCATGGGAGTTTGCAGATTCCATGTTATGTGAACAAGAAGCAGGTGGAGAAGGGCACTCGGTTGTTTCTGGATCCTCCAGAGCCTGACACCACTGCCTCCAAGAAAAGGAAGGTAGTGAAGTAGAAGTGATTTGTGCTATAGATTGCATTTTGACTTTGCAAGGCTGAAGCCAAAAAGGGATTGCCTATACAGGCTATTGCTAGGTCAAATGCCAATGAAC